CAGGTGGGTATTGTAGTTGTAAGAAAGCTTGACAGAGATCTTGTAGGTGTTTGTCTCTGTCTGAGGGGTTGGAGCAAATGCGGTTGTATCGCAGAGCTTGGCTGTAGACGATGGATCGTGTGGTGTGGTCAGGGTGAAAGCTGGAGGCATGCAGGTAGGAATAGCAGTCAGTAGGTTTCCGGTATAGGGTGGTGTTTATGTGGCCATTGTTTATTAGCACTGTAGTGTCCAGGAAGTGGATCTCTTGTGTGGACTGGACCAGGCTGAGGTTGGTGGTGGGATGGAAATTGTTGAAATCATGGTGGAATTCCTCAAGGGCTTCTTTTCCATGGGTCCAGATGATGAAGATGTCATCAATATAGCGCAAGTAGAGTAGGGGCTTTAGGGGACGAGAGCTGAGGAAGCGTTGTTCTAAATCAGCCATAAAAATGTTGGCATACTGTGGGGCCATGCGGGTACCCATAGCAGTGCCGCTGATCTGAAGGTATACATTGTCCCCAAATGTGAAATAGTTATGGGTAAGGACAAAGTCACAAAGTTCAGCCACCAGGTTAGCCGTGACATTATCGGGGATAGTGTTCTTGACGGCTTGTAGTCCATCTTTGTGTGGAATGTTGGTGTAGAGGGCTTCTACATCCATAGTAGCCAGGATGGTGTTATCAGGAAGATCACCGATGGATTGAAGTTTCCTCAGGAAGTCAGTGGTGTCTCGAAGGTAGCTGGGAGTGCTGGTAGCGTAGGGCCTGAGGAGGGAGTCTACATAGCCAGACAATCCTGCTGTCAGGGTGCCAATGCCTGAGATGATGGGGCGCCCAGGATTTCCAGGTTTATGGATCTTGGGTAGTAGATAGAATATCCCAGGTCGGGGTTCCAGGGGTGTGTCTGTGCGGATTTGATCTTGTGCTTTTTCAGGAAGTTTCTTGAGCAAATGCTGTAGTTGCTTTTGGTAACTCTCAGTGGGATCATAGGGTAATGGCTTGTAGAAACTCGTGTTGGAGAGCTGCCGAGCAGCCTCTTGTTCATATTCCGACCTATTCATGATGACAACATGTCATCCTTTGTCAGCCTTTTTGATTATGATGTCAGAGTTGTTTCTGAGGCTGTGGATGGCGTTGCGTTCCGCATGGCTGAGGTTATGGGGCAAGTGATGCTGCTTTTCCACAATTTCAGCCTGTGCACGTCGGCGGAAGCACTCTATGTAGAAGTCCAGTCTGCTGTTTCGACCTTCAGGAGGAGTCCATCTAGAATCCCTCTTTCTGTAGTGTTGGCATGGAGATCTCTGTGGATTAGTATGTTGTTCAGAGGTATTTTGGAAATATTCCTTGAGACGGAGACGTCAAAAATAGGATTCTAGGTCACCACAGAACTGTATCATGTTCGTGGGGGTGGAGGGGCAGAAGGAGAGGCCCCAAGATAGAACAGCTGCTTCTTAATTTAGGCTTAAATAGAGACTGGGAGTGGCTAAGTCATTATGCAAGGTAGCCTGTTTCCTCTTGTTTTTTCCTACCCCCCCCCCCCAGATGTTCTGGTTTAACTTGGATTTAAACTTGGAGAGTGGTCAGTTTAGATGAGCTATTACCAGCAGGAGAGTGAGTTTGTGTGTGTATGGGGGTGGGAGGGATGTGAGAAAACCTGGATCTATGCAGGAAATAGCCCGACTTGATTATGTAAAGAGTTGTCACTTTGGATGGGCTTGCACCAGCAGGAGAGTGAATTTGTGTGGGGGGGTGGAGGGTGAGAAAACCTGGATTTGTGCTGGAAATGGCCCACCTGTTGATCACTTTAGATAAGCTATTACCAGCAGGACAGTGGGGTGGGAGGAGGTATTGTTTCATATTCTCTGTGTGTATATAAAGTCTGCTGCAGTTTCCATGGTATACATCTGATGAAGTGAGCTGTAGCTCACAAAAGCTCATGCTCAAATAAATTGGTTAGTCTCTAAGGTGCCACAAGTACTCCTTTTCTTTTTATAGATTTGGCAGTGCAACGCAGCTTCCTCAGTATCTCTACTTTTGGCTGGAGATGTTGTCCTCACCATGCTCTATACTGCCTTTAGTTCTCTGGGAAGGGTAGACACTGGCAGCGAACTTACACCCCTGGCCCGTGCTTCAGGATTCAAGAGAATTTCCCTTTAAGTCAGTAGCTCTTGGCACTTCCCAGGAGAAGGAGGCAGTCTCATCCCCTCTCTCCTCATGTATTTGTCTGCATACTCTTCCTTTTGGATACTGGCAGGGGAATCTACCCCAGCCTCCCACCCCCTCCTCCCTGTCAGCTACTCCATCTGCATTTTGGCTGACACAGTCCCTTGCCGGTCTGGAGCGAAGGGGTATTGATTCACCCATTCTGCTTTTAAAGCCATAATAGCAAATAATATGGAAATCTGACAATACACCTACAGCCAGCACCTCTGACCCTTCCTGTGTCTGTATAGAAAGTGCTGCTGTAGGTAAAGTGAAGGCTTTTACACAAGGAACTATAACCCAGATTTCACATACAGAGCATTTGATGGGTATTACAACATGGGGCTTAACCATAGTCTTAGCAGTGCCAGTATCCCTCCATCCAATAAACATTTCCCCACTGACCACCACCTTCCACTCTCATTGGCCATCTGAGGGATCAGTACCCAGGAGGGTGCAGCATGACATGTGGGCAGTGGTTTGGGGTGTGAATGTGTCAGCAGGAACATTATATGCCCTGGGTGCACTGGGCAGGTGCACTGGGTGGGTGGCTCCCTCCCTCCAGAGGTTTAATCACACAGGTAACTCTTTGAGGTCGGGGGAAGCTGGCCTTTCCAGCACTGCATTGGGCCTCAAGGCCTGGACAGGGCAATCTCAAGCAAAGTAACCCCACCGGCCACATATGGAACACCGCTTTCTCCCCCCCATCAAAAAAAAGCTTCTTAGAGGTGTTTTCCCTCCCTCTAGTCATGGGTTTCTGCATGGGCCTGATCCCTGTCCTCGGATTCCATTTCATCCCTATTTAGTTTTCTATCAAACCCTGGCTGACTATGCACATATCAGTCTGCCAATTACCCTGTTATCGTTAAATGCCTAGGATCTTTGTCTGCTCACCCTGATTTTAGGTAAGGGTGGCAGTTTATAAAATTGTTCTAAATTCATTAATTCATAGGCCTCATCAACCATGGTAACCCCCAGCCAGTTTCCAGTTTTCTTACATAACCCCTAATTTGAAGTGAAACCTTAGCATAAGTCATGCCCTCATTTTTCCGAACTCCCTGAACCTTTCTCCTATGCCCTTTAGGGGTCAGCTTAGACTTTTGCAACAAAGCTTGTTTACACAGCTCATGCTCTTTAAAGTCTTCTCTGTCCATAAGGATACAAACGTTGAAAGCATTTGTCCTTAACAGTAGTGAATCCTATACAACTCATTCATTAAAGTCTGAGAGCATTACATGCACCTGGCAACTTGAAGAGTTTTATTAGAAATCAGATAGATTAGATAGCTGCATCCAGACGGTTAGCGATCACACTGCTAGAGGGAGATGATTGGCTCTGTCAGCATAAAGCAGCCTAATGCTACACAGTAATTAGAGTGGGTGGCAAGTGCCTTTTCCATTCCTTATTACACTGGGAGATGGCTGCCTTCTCTAGGAAAGCTGTGTTTGGAAGGTAAAAACAAAAAAATAATCTTAATCCATTTAGCCTTAGTCTTAACATAAGGTTGGGGAGAATTTTCTTTCTAAATTATGCTTTACAGAGCACCCTTGAGAAACCATCTTTAAAAAATTAAACAATCTGCTGTTTTATGATGGAGTTTTAATTCCTTCTTTCTTGGTTTGATTTCTCTTTAAGAAATGGATTGTTGGTGTTTGTCTGATGGTGGTGGCGGTGGTTGGCTGTTAGTTTGAGGAGTTTTTTATATTTTATTTTATTTTATTTGTAATTGTATCAACAAATGAAAAGGGAACAGTCCGGGGAGATGGTTTGATCAATAGTTCTCAAATGGGTTGCAGAATTGGGCCTCATGTTTCTAGACCAGTATTGAAATTTGGTTTTGCTTGTTTGTTTTCCTTAAATCCTTGTCTCCTGAAGTAATGTGATTATGAGAATCTCAGGCTTCACTTAAAAAAAAAAAAAAAAAAAAGTAAGTTTCTAGCCATCATGATTGCAAAGAAAAGTTTGAAAATTTGATCCCTAAACACTCAGACACTGGAAGGTAAATTAAAAGGTCCCCACATTTCTTAATTTTTCAAGATCTCATAATTTTTAAGCCAACCTCCTGATTGTTTGGGCCTGACTCATAATTTTTGAATGCTTGAAGTTAGCCATGCTGCTAGCTTGTGGGGTCATCACTGTGAATACTGAGTATTGTGGCATGTACAATTCTGTAAGAACATACAAATTATACTTCTGAACATATGTCTTGGGGCTTGCAGGTAGAAGAATGTTGAGAATTTCTGGATGAGATAACCTAATAGGCATCTCAACTCTAACCTCTTTGATTCTATGTCTTGTGCCTCCCAGCTCTTCTGTATTCTGTCAAAGTCACCCTTCCTCCTGGCAAAGGTCTGTGCATTGGCATTTTCCCCCGTTAAAGTGTGTTTCTTCTAGAAATTATCTGAAACAGTCTCTTCCTTTGGATTTCAAAGTTCCAGTTGTAGAGGGTTTGGGGGGTGGGGGGTGAACATTTGAGAGGGGAGAAAGCTTCTTTCCCTCCACTCTATCTATTGCAGTACGTCAATACAAATTTGCCTACCAATACAGTATTTTTAAAAAGTCTTCCGTTACAAATGCAGCATGTGTGCTGATGCCGGATTAACCTAATGAGCTTAAAATCTTATTTATACATGACATCTGTCAAGACAGAAACAAGGTACGCACGTCCCCTTAATCCACTAGCACTAACCCAACACAGCTTTCACATGGTTTGTTTCCAATAGAAGAACGCTTTAAAGGAAACAAAATACAACGGGACAGTGTGTAGGTCTTTTAAGACAGGATCCTGGGAAGTAGGAAAAGTTCATTGTAATTAACCAGGCTATCTACAAAACTGGGAGAATTCTTGATGAAACCTTGGGAGAAAAATGACATGTTCCAGTACAGGATGAAACAGTAAGTTTTATTGTCTTCTATTCTTTACCTGATCATCTGGATATCTTTAACAGAAAATAAATCCAGACAGAGACACAGGATGGGCTGTACACCTTCCCACAGTGAGATTGCTAACCATGTTGCAAAAACCGGAACTAATCCTTTGAATAAACCCAAAAGTATCCTGCCTGTTGATCCTGGAGACCAAGCATTCTCAATTCCATTGCTGGTCAAAGGCTCCACTTGTTATGATATTGACAAGTTCCCTCAGAGAGGGTCTCCGGGGAAAGATCACCAGCTGGAAAAGGAGGAGAAAACATCAGAGCTGATCAAAAATGTTAACTTCCATTTATCATCTGAGGATCTCTCTCTTTGCAAGATTTATGAGGAAGAGAAGAAAATTGAGAGGACAGCCACAGAGGCTGAAATAGCCATGTCTGAACTGATTGAGTCTCAAAAACATATAGCAGAAGACATACAGATCAAAAAGCAAAGCTCCTGCAAATCAGAGGCAACAGCTTTCACTTGGGATGACAAGAATGAAAGCAATGCAAAGCAAACCCCAAAGAAAAGGAGGAAGCAAAAAAGCCATAAACCAGTGAAACAGGGTCATCTTTGCAAACCCAAAGAAAAATCCACTCCACCTATATGCAAGCCTGAGAAAAAGGTAGATTTCCCAGATCAGCTTGTTAAGGCTCATCAAAATGCTTATGCCTACCTAAATCCCAACCTCTCCAAATATGAAGCTATCCTATGTATGGCCAATCAGGCTACCGAAACTCAGCTGCTTTTACAGCAGCTGGTGAGCTTTCTAGTGTTCCACTTTGATAAAATCAACCAGCTCTTGGAAGAAATTGCCAATGATGGGGAAGAGCTCCTCAAAGAGGTGGGAGGAAACCTGGCCTGGCCAGCTGGAAAAGGGGATCCAAAAGAGCAGCCAGACCTGTTGCAGCAGTTACTGCAGTATACAGTCAACAAAATGCAGCTGCTAAATGGAACAGTGGCTTCCCTTACCTCCAGTGCCCTGCAGGAGACATGGAGCTACTTACAGTCTGCGGCCAGCAACTTGGAAGAAAAACTGAAAGCAAAACAAGGCTTTGATGAACGCCTGCTAAAGGCAATAAAATTGCTTGAAGCCTCTGCCGTGGTCTCCTCTCAGGCCCATGATGATGATAGGACTCTGTATTCAGAAGACAGTGGCATTGGTGCAGACAATGAATCTATCAAAGAGTTCAATTCCCTTGATAAACTTGGAAGGCAAACAAGCTGCGATTCTTGTGCACATGATCATCCATCTCAGAAACACACTAGAATACCAGGAGAACATCTGTGTAATGGCACATTGTTGTCTGTTACAACTAGATCCCATGACTGTGCACTTGAAAGGCATTTTAAGGATATATTTTACCCATCTGTACACAGCAAAGAAGCAACTTCTTCCCTGGGGGCAACACCAGAAAGTGTTTCTACCAGGCTCCAATGTTCAAATGTGACCAAAAGTCCTCCTTTTAATTCCCTCCAGTCTGATGCTACCCAGGAAGGTGAAAATTTCAAAGACTGTGAATCAATAGATTCTCCTTCTGCAAATGAACAGGAAGAGAGTACACCAGAGGAGGATGACAGTGATAATATAAGTCTATCAGAAATGGGGAAGGATACCCTGCCTAGAAGGCCAATGTCTTCACCTGCAGTAACAGATAAAACAAGGAGGCCATCCGTCAAAAGGATAGAAAATCCAGAGACTGAAGAGATGATACTTAAGATGAAAGATGCAATCAGTGAAAAAATCAAGTTTGTCCCAGCTAAATGTGGACGAAAGGAGTGGACAGAAGATGAAGGTGGAAAAGCAGCCCTAACAGCAAGACCCAGTACAGCAAGTGGTAGCCGGAAAACCTCAGTTAAACAAAGAAGGTCCAGGTCAGAGGAATCCCTCAGGAGCCGTGCAGAAGACCCAACCCTTTTAGAACTTCAAAGGACCCAAAAAGATCTCAACAAAAGATTAGAAACATTTTATAAGCTTAATGGGAACAAAGAAACAGATGGCAAGCAGGAGATCCTGAAGCCAAGAGCAGCAGCTTACTTGCAGGGCACTGAACATGCTACACCCAGATTGTCTACCAACAAACTGAAGGCATCCCTCTCTAAAAATTTCAGCATATTGCCTAATCAGGATAAGGTCCCTTTACGTAAGTCCGAGCAAAACACTGTCAGTCATCCAGATGAGAGAAGGGGACGGAAGCCTATAAAAGCCTCTGTATCCACACAGGATTTATCGTACAGGAAAGAAAATGAGCCACCTGGGATAGAGAAATTGAATAGTGGTGGCTGTGCCCCTCGGAAATCTGTCAAGACACTTATTGAAACTTTTAGTCCTTCCGAAGGCCTTGTGAAACCTACACATTTAAGAACTTTAGGACCAATAAAATGCATCAGAAAGTTTGGACTTCCAGTGATTCCTCCCACCATTCCCCTTCAGAGAGTACTGGCACCTTTAATTCACAAGCCTCGTGTTTCACCAGTAGGAGACATAACCCTTCCAAACACAAGTGCATCCCACTGTAACTTTCCAACTGTCTTTCCACCTGTTGCAGAATTAAGCAGAACTGACACAAATGAAGAAACGGATGAAGACTTGGAGAACCTACCACCACCACCTCCTGAAATGTTAATGGACAGTTCTTTTGACTTCTCTGAGTCTGAAGAAAGTACAATAATGGAAGGGAACTCTTCAGAGGTTGCCAAAAAGCCTGCTAAAACAGAGCTTCATGCTACAAAGAGAATGCACATTTCTCCAAAGATAAAAGCCTCTCTACATTCCATTGACTTATTACCAAGTAAAAATATCAACAGCCCCAACATGACTGCCAGTAAAGTACTAAGAAACACTGGGGTGGACTCCCCCAAATTTAGAAAATATTCATTGGAGCTAAATCCTACCAACATGTTCATCCACAGCCAAGAGGGTAAATTAGCATCCCAAAGGGACCATGAAATGAAAGAGGCTGCAGATCTGTATAAGCAATCGCATAAAATAATACCTCTTCAAAATCCCAGTGGAGTTTCAACACAGAACAGAAACTGCTCAGAAAGTAAAGAGCCTGGCACAAATTTAGCATCAGTGCAAAACCAAAATCAAATTTATCCTGATTCACTCGGGAGAAATGAGAAAAGTCTAGCTTTTGTCAGAAGAATCTCCCCAACAAGAACACCCCCTTCTTCTCCACCCACCGAGAAACGACTCTCAAGTCCACCTGCATATCCCAGACACATCGTGCAGACTTTTAACCACGTAAAACCAAGCTTTCCTCCTTCTCACAGGCAACCTAGTCCCACAGCTAACCCCAGAGTATCAAGCCCTCCAATGCAAAAGAAGCTGCCTTCTTCACCAAACCAACGAAAACTGCCTAGCCCTCCAGTGGGGCGCAAACAAAGCCCACCAGCTCAGCGAAAGTTGTCAAGCCCACCTGCTCAGCGCAGAGAGGCAAGTCCACCTCCATTCTGCACTACCCCTTCTCCACCAGCCTCTCCATTGCGGTCCCACAAAGGACGACAAAACAGTTTGGATTCTGGTGATGAGCAACAGCTTCCTCCATCAAAGATTGCTAGTAATGCACGTTCAATATTTTGCCCAGCAACTCCTTCTTTATTTGAAGCCAAGCCTCCATCACCACCTAGCAACTGCACTACAGAGGTCGCAGGCCAGCCTGAAGTTTCAGCTTTTGTCCAGAAAAGCAGTGTGCTGCTCAGGCAGTGTGGGGATCAGCAGAGGAGGATGGCTATGAGTGCTGCCAACCCTCAGCCTTTCATAAAGAGAAGTTTCTCTGACCGCAGACCAGGAGTTTACCTTCGACTTCCAGCTCCTGTCTCAGCTGGCAGTGAACCTCTACTTAACCAAGCAAGGTGAGAAACATTCTACTTTAAGTCAAGCACTTTGGGTTGTATTTTATGCTTTGGTTTTTTCAGTTTTTGATGAGCGCTCAATACAGTCAAAACTGTCCTATTTATGTGCAGAATAGCAATGCATCCACCATCCCCACCAATATTGCTTTAACCAAGACCTAAATAGACCATCTGTCAGGGTGGAGAAGATAGGTCACTCTCCACAGCTCATTCAAGACTGTTTGTCCTGCCTGCTGAGACTGGCAAGCAGGGTAATAATGAATGCCATTTGGAAGGGTACTGCAGATCACCATATTCAATTCACAAAAGATATGAAATAACGCTCAAAGGGTACCAGCTTTAGATTACTAAGGATTTAGGTTGGATTTGAATTGGCAACCTATTATCAATCCCTGAACTAGCCAGTTCCGCAGTTGAATTCTATGTTTAAATATTTCAAAGCAGTAAGCACAGGTGATTTGCAGGCGGGGACCTCTTAAATTGTAAAGATCTATTTATAAAATTGTTACTTGAAGCCTTGAGCTAGTTATGTACATCTAATTTTTCAAAACTGGTCACGGATTGTGGGTGACTCAGTTGATGGATGCACCATTTGAGCTTGGTTTTCAAAGGCACAAGGCACCTGTGGCTACCAAGGACTTGGAGCTCTGATTGCTCAGCTGTTCTGAAAAACATCAGGCCCTAAAGGTCACATGATGGGCACGCAACAATTGAGTCACCCATAATCGGTGGCAACTTTTGAAAAATTTGGCCTTTAACCTCCCTACTCTTTAATTTACTCAACCACAAAGTGGGTAAACCTCTATCTGAAATCACAAGAGAGCCTATGACACTAAATATATTCTTGGCAAAATATTTTGCAATCATTAAATGGCATGTAAGTGCAAAATGTTGTTCTAATTTTCCCCATCTTAGTACCTTTAAGCTAATTAAGCTTTAAGATACACAAAAGAATTGAGCCTCTCATGCAAGTAGTTTTTACTCATGCAAGCAGTCCTCCTGAAGTCAGTTGGACTACTCATTTGAATAAATATTTGCAAGACCAGCTCTGCATTTTGTGTGTGTGTACGCAACTGTGTCATCAGCACAGGAATGAGCTTGGCAACTGAATCCAGATAGATCCCAGAAAAACAGTCAGCTCCCAACTTCTCTCCTGTACTGTGAATGATATCACAGGTTATCATTACCAAAATAAAACAATGACGAAGTCTTCCACAAATGCTAATAGTTTTGCATCCTACACTCTGTTTTATTATACATTCTACTCTGACATTCTAAGCAAATTTCATCTCCTAAAGGACACCTTTTTTTTTTTTTATGTACAGTTTGAAATCAGCATGGTCTATTCCAATGTCTGTTAGCTGGAATAAATGTTTTCAAAAAGGCTTTATGTCAAACCTCATGAGAAGAAAGTGCTGGCAGTTTTATAGATGAATTTTAAAAACAGCCTATTATAAATTGTTAGTTAATTTCTGCTTCAGCACTGCATATTATCTATGTGTTCCAGTTTGCCACAGCACAAATGATAATATAAAAAGACACTGCAATAAACCATTAAAAGAATCATCCTTTTCATGAAATATTTTATATTTTGTGACTCTGAACTATCTATCAATTTCTTTAGTCATTTTGGGAGAATGAAATATTTATTGAGCCCAGTTCAGCTCTCCGTTTACATCAATGTATATCCAGAGTAATTCCACTGAGTTACTACAGATATATACCAGGGTGAGGTAGCCCATTATTTACAGCTTGGACTGATTTAAGATGCAATGTTTTTTCTAGGTTTAAAATAAATAAAATAAATTGCCCAGCCCCAGCTTTATAGACACTGCTTTGAATTTCATAATATACATATCAGAGCCATAATAGCATGCATGGTGACACAGACAGATGCCAGATGTTTTAGGAATCTGCCCACTGAATATTACCCACCGCTGAAGTACCCAGTATCACTGCCCACCACTTCATGCTCTAGGATACTGAAATATAATGGGTTCCACTGATCAGAGCCTCGGCATGCTGAGGCACAGGTACTGACTCATAGCCCTCACATTTTCATCAACAGTACAGTATGCTCTGATTCATCACTCTCCTCAGAGCTCATTAGCCATACAAGGCTGCCTCAGCTTCTCATTTCATTCCCCAAACAGAAGAAAAAATTCAAAAAACTTCACCCTTCAAATGTCAGTACTAGGCATCTGCCTGCACCATACCCTGGATCCCAACACCCTCAAATTCTGGGGAAGTTCATATTGCAGGCCCAGCTGCGGGTAAATTTCTTTTAACCCTCTCCTTTCCATTCCCTCCACCTTCCATTTCCTCTCCTCACCAAGCCTAACAAGGGCCCTTCCACACCCCTGGCCACCCTCTCCCTGATGAGAACCAGCAGTGGCCTTCTCCCAGCAGGCTGACTTGTTTTCGCTGCCAGCCTCCTTCTCTGCATAGACTTATTCTGGGATCTGCCAGCTCCTCTCCACACCTGGATGGCCTCCTGATGTGCACAGCTACCTCCTGTGATGGCTGCCAGCCTCTGAGAAGGGACAGGAAGTGGCAGCAGAGGGAGGCAGGGCACATTGGGAGTGCAGACCAGAACAGGGGTTACTTTCCAGGGGGAAGTGGAGCCACCAAGGGCTCACTGTAGGCAAGAGACCTGACCCAGCCTGCCTCTCAGCAAGTAGAAACTCTGTCTTCTTCAGTACAGCACCCCCTACCAGCTTGTTATTAACCAAAAAAAACTGACTGCACTGAATTTAGGAAACTGATCAAACCTCAGGTATTTTACAAGGGCCTAAGGGTTAATCATTCAACCATTAGACATTTCAGTGGATATATAATACTGTATTCTCACATTCCAAAGCCTTAAGGCAGCTACATATTGCCAGGTTCTATAGTGAAACATGCCACAAAAATGTTCCTCCTTTCCCTCCTCCAGAGCAATGTGGTTTTTTTTTCCTCCCCAGAATTACATTGTCCTGATTCCCAGACAGACAGTAAAGTGCTGGACCAGCAACAGGTTTAACATGTGAAATCTTGAGATCGTAGAGAGACAGAAATGGGGGAACTTTTACTGTCGAAAGGAGAGAGCCTCAGTTTTCTAATAAGAGCATGCCTCTTGTCCTGGAGAGCCCGTAGGACATTAAAATCACAATGTTATTATGTTGGGAAGAGATATTTTACATTATTAGAGGTTGCTATCACTAATTAGTTGGTGAACTAGGTAGGAGAGGGGGAGATGGATCCACAAGATTTCTCTCTTATTAAGTAATCCACACAAAAGCGTTGGAAAATCAATGATTTACCCCATTTCTGAGACCTCTATGCATTTTTGGGGATTTTTCCTTCCATTTCTCCGCACTTTGGTAATTTTCCTTTTGCTGTAGTTAGGCTGCCAGGCTTGGCCCTAGGCAGAAGCAAATACAAACAACCACATGGGATCCTGTGGTGACCCAGCAATTCATCTCGACAGCCCAGTTTCCCTGTTCAGCAGCAGGACCAGAGGGAGAGGTAACTTTCATCACATTCTGCCAGTCATATAGATGAGGATGAGGGTTAATACACGTAAATGGAGTGTACTCACTTTTCATTTAGGGAATGGGGAGTTTAGCTTCGATTAGTTTACTCACTTCTTTTTTTACCTCTACACCATTGCATTCTGAGCATCAATAGCTTTGGGCCCTGTAAATTGTAGGCCACTCTTATATGAAACTCTGCTAGTCTTCCTGCATTCCCAGTGTTGCATTAGAAAACCGTGAATGCCTTCCCTCCAAGTGTATAAACCTCCCATTTAAAGCTCTGCAGGGTATCAAGATAAAATCTTAAACATGTCACTAGCCCCAGTTACAGCTGCAGCTAGAGCTCTGCACAGCTACTGTTACTTTATAAGTACCAAGAGTCATGGGTTTAGGTTTCAGTATCCAAGCCACGACAACTCAATGTGATTTGGACAGGTAGATGTACAGAGCTACTTTGGTCTTTTCTAAGCCTGACCTTTGGGTAACAATCAACCCTGGTGGGCATGTTTTCAAGGCATACCTTGCATGACACTTTGCTCGGGCAAATCCTGTTAATCCTTAGCAGGATTTGTCTGCATGTGTGTATAGTAAAAAATAGTATTTCGGTTGTACTGTTGCTCTCAGATTAAAACCCTCCCCCATGGGAACAGCTGAGATGGAAGGAAGCTTAAAATAAAAGCTATTTGGATTTCATTCAATTCAGAGAAAAGAAGAGGAACTGATTCAGTGACACAGGACCAAAAGCAAAACTTTGGATATGAATCCTCCCAGACTTTGGGGAAGTTTGGATCTGGATAAGAACTTCATGCGTAATCCTCTATTTATACACTTGGCTAAATCTATTCATCCAGTACCAATCTAGCACTAGTTCCACCACAACAGAGAGGCAGGACAATCCAGTGGTTAGAGCATTAGCCTAGGACACAGGAGTCCTGGGTCTAAGTCCCTGCTTCACCACAGACTTCCTATGTGACCTTGGGCAAATCACTTAGCCTCCCTGTGCCTCAGTTCCCCCTATGTAAATCGGGATAGTAATTCCAGCTGCATAGAGGTTAAACACCATTAAAGATCATGAGGCAATCAGTTACTACAATAATGGTGGGGGGGAGGTCTAATAAGTATCTATGATAAGATATCTATAGAAACTTCCCTTTTGGGGATCTGGATCCCAGCTTTGTAGCTCAGACCCTTCTCTCATTGTAAGTGACTCTGTTTGTCCATCTGTACATTCAAACACATCACAGTAGCTTTCATGCGGTCACATATTACAATGTTTGGCTCCCAACAGATTTTCAGTGGGAGAAGATTACAATGTACTTGGCATCAGGAAACAGGGACCAGAAAGAAAACCTGTACTGTACTAAACAGCTGAATTGGAGGAAGGTCTTTGCAGAATGCCTTGCTGCATTTCGTTTTAATGGGTTAACATGCTCTCCTTAGCGTTTTAAAAAAGGACATGGTTCATTAGCCTCTTTTCTTAATCCTCTTTTCTATCTGCAGCATGGAGGAGAGTCCTAGAAAGGAGAGTGATTCCTGGAACAGTACATGCTTCTCTGAATTCAAGGGATCCAGCAGGTCTGCTTCTCATCCTGAACTCTACATTGTGGGCCAGGGGCTCCACAGCGAGTGACAATACAATCTGCTTGGAAGATGGACGGTATGGCTCAAGGCAGAGGATCCTCGTGTGATTAAATATCTTAGTCCCAGGCTCCAAAGTATGGCTTCAGACCATATCAAAGAGGAATAAGTACAATATAATTGCACCTGCAAACCCAAACTGGCCATGACTTCCTAATTAAATATCAGCAAGGTGCTTGGCAGCTACTTCTCTCTTTCATGGTGTTTTACAATTTTACTAAAATACTTAAATTTAGTACCAGAAACAATAAAATATTGGAAAGACACAGGTCAGATTAGTACTATTTTAGAAAGACAGGGTCCTGCTGCCAAATCTTTTGTTGCACTATTTAACTAAAATGGTCCCAGAGGTGCAGAAATTAACATTAGGTGACATGACATTTATTCAAAGCTTCTGTTTTAAATCAAACCTGACGCCATTGGAATCAATGACAAAACTCCCGCTGACTAAGTGTAGCCAGGACTTTACCCTCTGTGTTCCATGGGCATGCAGGGAATAAAATCAAGTCCAGTTAATAAAAAATAAAGTTGTTGTTTTTTTAAAATAGAAGAAGATACATTCCTCCTGCAGAGAGGTTTTGATCTTATTACATACGTTTAACCATTGTGTAATCTCATCACTTCTAGTTCCCAGAACAAGAACCTTAATCCTTCTTAGAGAAACATTGTAATACCTAATCAGCCAAGAGCACCTACATGACTGCACATTTTACATATCCTATTCTCCCACAGGAAGGTCTGTTCTCCTTTTGATCCATGAATTAAGATGGAATTTATCCCACTTCCACTGAAGATTCTGGAAGGACCCCTGTTGACTTAAATGGCAGCTGGATTGGGCACCGTCAAGCAGCTAGAGGATATTGGTAGGCAGCGCCAACATCTAAGTATGAGAATTCCCTTTCTTAGATCAAGTGAAATAGCAACTCTTTTTGGATCCAAGACTCCACGGCTTTCGTCCAAAATCCTTCACAATATGTATATTTTTTAAAACAATTGGGTATTTTCAGACTATTGGACCTCTAGGTTTTGACACAAAAGCTCGTTCATGTTTTGTAACACATTCTGTATTTACTCATCTTTGATCAAAGGATTAGGGTCCCCTTTATAACTAGTATGCAGCTTTTTAACTAATACTGGACCTCTTTCCAACTGTGATTTGGACAATGTAATATCTGGGGGGGAGGAGGGGGAGAGAACCCTGTAAAATTCTACCCCTTATTTATAGATTTTTCTCTGGCTCTCAACACTATGGTATCTGAGCATTTCACATACACAAATGATTTTTATCCTCACCCACCAGTTTTACAGAGGAGGAACTGAGGCACAGAGAGATTAAATGACTTGTAGAAGATCACATAGGAAGTCGGTGGCAAAGCTGAGAATGGGACCTTGACCTATTGAGTCCTAATCAAGTGCCTTAACCACAAGACATCCTTCCTCTGTCTTCTTTTTAATACACTGAAACCGTGCCATTCTCCACCAATGACAAGGCAAAAGACCTCAATAATAGCATTTATTCCATTCAGTTATTACTAAGTAATTTCATTTCCTCTCTCACTTAAGGCCTTATGTTAAAATTTCCTGTCATCGATATTCTACAAATGGCGGGTTTATCAAAAAGTGTTTACTTATGTTTTCCAAGGACCATGTCCTGCCCTGGCCCAAGATTAATAGCACTACAAGGAGGAGAAAAGTTGCTGGTAGATATATCCTCTGCAAAAAGATTTCTGCTGGCAGAGAATGTCCAGGAATCCAATGATCTGGAAGAGCACTTTGCTAGTCCACTCACCAGGAGCAATGCATGTCCTGCTAGAGGCAGTATAGTGTATGTGCTAACTGGCTAGGAAGACCAATAAGGCCTTTTGTCTTGAAAACCACTTACCCTTGAGGATGTGATGCATGTGCTGACATGTTAACTCAGGGGCTTTCCTAGCACTGTCTTGGACATTAGGGAGGAAACTCCCTGGCAAATGAAAACACACACAACTTATGCAGAATTTTGGAGCTGGCCTGAATGTGTTGTCATGAACTGACTAGTGTGTATTTATACTACTGCCCTCTATTGGATAGAATCTGATGGCTCAAGTGTGTGTCATAGAACCTATACTACTTATAGCTAAGAGATTATCTTTTAGCTTACGTAGGGGGGTAATGAGCATTTGGAGAAGAAGAGTCTATGTTCTCATCAAGGGGTAAGAGGGAAGGTCCTCTCATGGATCAGTAACTAATTAAAAGACCAGAAACAAAGGGTAGGAATAAACAGTCAGTTTTCACAATAGAGAGAGGTAAATAGCGGAGTCCCCAAGGATCTGTATTGGGGCCACTGCTGTTCAACATATTCATAAATGATCTGGAAAAAAGGGTGAACAATGAGGTGGTAAAGTTGCAGATGATACAAAATTACTCAAGATAGTTAAGTCCAAAGCAAAGAATCACAAAAGGATCTCACTAAACTGGGTGACTGGACAAAATGGCAGATAAAATTCAGTGTTGATAAATGCAAAATAATGCACATTGGAAAACATAATCCCAACTATACATATAAAATGATGGGGTCAAAATTAGCTCAAGATGATGTTGGAGTCATTGTGGCTAGTTCTCTGAAAACATCTGCAGCTGTAGTCAAAAAAGCTAACAATGTTAGGAACCATTTGGAAAGGGATAGGTAATATGACATAAAATATGTAATGCCAATATATAAATCCATGGTACGCCCACATCTTGAATATTGCATGCAGTTCTGGTCACCTCATCTCAAATAAAGATGAATTAGAATTGGAAAAAGTACAAAGAAGGGCAAACATGATTAGGAGTATGGAACAGCTTCCATATGAGGAGAGATTAAAAAGAATGGGACTGTTCTTCTAAGAAAAGACATGACGAATGGGGATATGATAGAGGTCTATAAAATCATGACTGATATGGAGAAAGTGATAAGGAAATGTTATTTATCTCTTCACATAAGATGAGAACCAGGGGTCACCCAATGAAATTAATAGGCAGAAGGTTTTAAACAAACATAAGGAAGTACTCCTTCACACAACACAGTCAACCTGTGGAACTCACTGGCAGGGGATGTTGTGAAGGCCAAAATATAACTGGGTTAAAAAAATTAGATAAGGTCATGGAAGATAGGTCCATCAATGGCTCTTCAGCCAAGATGGTCAGGGAAGCAATCCTATGCTCTGGGTGTCCCTAAGCCACTGACTGCCAGAAGTTGGGACTGGACAATTCGATAATTGCCCTGTCTGTTCACTCCAGCTGAAGCATCACTCCCTCTGGCACCATCCACAGTTGGAAGACAGGATACTGGGCGACACGGACCATTGATCTGACCCAGTATGGCCATTCTAATGTTCTTAGTCTTGTTGCTGCATGAGGTTCTGAGTGGCCATGACGTGCAGTGTAGTAACAGTGTTGACAGCCTACCTGGCTATTGTTTTGCACATAAATCCAACATTCCTGGCACCAAAGAGTTTTATAACATTGTATTAGCTTTTGTAAGATTTTTTTACTGCTGTAAAGTAACCCAGAGTTTATATGTATATAGGTGTGAATATACGCTCTCTCTCTCTGTATATATGTGTATACTAAGAGTGTAAATATTTATTCAAAATGGTTTTTGCTGATTTCTTACCCAGAGTGTTAAACATGTACTCTGTGCTATAAAAATAAAGGAAATGTTTTGAAGTGCAGTGAGTTAATATTGGTTTCTTTTTAAGTGGAAAAGGCCCTTATACCAATTATTTTACATTGAACCTTCATTAACAAAAAATATGTTCCCCTAGGTTAAAAGATCCCGAGTGGAGAGGATTGGCATAGCTAATAACTGTTCCGGCCTATTAGCCCCCTTTGCTCTCTAATTTAAGCTTAGTTTAGCACCAGCTGACAACATTGTATTAATTTCAGTTGAGATTCTATGTAAAGTTACTGCAAACACAACCACCTTGTGGAGGCAGCAGCCAAAGCGTTAACACCGGAATGTGTTCAGTGAAGCGGCTCCTCATTGCAGAAGAAGCCATATTAACTCTAGACACACGCCATGCCCTCCTGTACACTCTGTGAAGCTAAATGCAAGGTAAAGTTGCACCTGTGCTTCTCATCACAAGTGAAATGTGATGAGAAGCACAGAATATATACATATTTATTTTACCGCTTTGTCAATACGGGGCCTGTATGCTAAAATATAGGCAACACTGCCTGCAGACAAGGTGCTTTCTAAAAGTTTTCTATGAGGCCTGAGTTGCTCTTTAATCAATTGTATAAATAACGGCTTTGGACACTGTAGATGTCATCAGTTCTATCATTTTTTATTCTTAATTACTACTATTGGACCTGGAGCCCCAGTTGAAGCAAAGGGCAGCTAATAATGATCCTAGCCTTCCCCAAAGCAATCATTACGAAGCTATGAACCAAACTTTCCTGACTTTCCCCCAGCAATGCAAAAGATCCTACATACAACAGGGCTGAGATATACTGTATAGCCTGCAACTAAAAAATGTTACCAGCTGCACAGCTTTTAAATCTGAGGTAAAGAAGTTAATCTAACTGGACCGTTTCCATCTTGCAGCCTCACTTCCTCCCAAGCATAATATCACTTTAATACCTTGTCTATCCTCTACTGGGAATTAAATCCTACAATGGCAGAGGGCTGGACACAATGATCAAATAGGTTTTCCGTCTCTACCCCCGAAGAGTCTGTTGAAAGTTTCTTTCTTTTGGTGTATGCCTGGAAATATAGTTAGTATAAGGATGGGGAATCCAGGCAAGAGGTGAATGCATCTCTCCTAACTATTTTGAATATAAAACTTTAATAATATTTTGGCTCTAACATATACAAAAGGTCGGAGCTCTGTCACAGCGTATATACGCACGCACACACACACACACTGTGGCAGAGCTCCGACCTTGTCCCTGTGGGTCCTGCACTTCCAGGCAGTTTATGCTAGCCTCGGAGGCTCACGGCAACCCTCCACATAGCCCTCCTTTCTCTAGGTCCAGGATACAGTCTACTGAGCCTTTTTCATCATAAGCCAGCAAGGAGTTGGTGAGAGAACTCCCACAGTCTCTGTTGTCCCTACGGTCTTATTCCAGAACAGTTTAGCCTCCTGTCCTGACAGGGGCCTGTCGCCCCCTCCCAGGAGGTGTTTCTGTAGTGGCAGGTTGGGGGGAACCCGGGCCCACCCTCTACTCTGGGTTCCAGCTCAGGGACCCTAATGGCAGCAGCTGTTGGCAGCCGACCTTTTACTGCCAGAGTTGCTACATTTCCCTGGACCACTTCCCCACAGCTCTCCTGCTTCGCTCTCTTAATGTCTTCTTCACCCTTACCTTAGGGCTCCCTTTCCAGTGGCTTGAGGGCGTCTTCATTACTCAGCCCTTCAGCCGCACTGCCTCTCCTGTAGCTCTCCTCGGCCTGACTGGAGTGAGCCCTTTTATAGTATCAGAGGGGCCTTAATTAGAGTCAGGTGTTCACATTAGCTTAACAGCCTCACCTGACTCTTTGCAGGTTAATTGGAGTCAGGTGTTCTCATTAGCCTAATGGCTTCAACTAACTCCTTGCAGGCTATTTGGAGGCATGTGTCCACCCTAGCCTGGAGCAGCCCCTGCTCTGGTCAGTCAGGGAACAGAAAACTTTGCTTATCCAGTGGCCAGCATATCTGCCTTCTACTACTCTGCTGTACCCAACTGGCCTGGGGTCTATCACAATACACACATACTAAACTTCACAAAAATGATGGGGTGCAAGTAAGCATTATCCCCAATTTAAAGAGGGGATACACAAAAGCACAGAAAAGTTCTCTACTCTGATCATTAAACCATTCTGCTAGGACAACAATCCACATAGCAAATAAATTGCCACCTGTTACAGAGGATCTAGTAGAGGCAAACTAAAATAATCCAGAAAAGAATATGGCAAATAAAAAATTGGATAATACAGTCTTCTTATTGAAAAACTTCAGTATTTTTCCTGGAAATTGTCTTCTCTTATGAGATCTGGTAAGTGATCTGCTCCTGTAACAGTTTCCCCTACATTAGTGGAATCTCAGTTTTCACTGCAAGGATGTCTTCTGAAGTACAATGACTCATACAAACATTTTGTGTGCCACATATAAAAATACAAGATATTTTTGGCAGGTCTGAACAGCTGTGCTCTCATGTAAATACCAATTAAAAGCATGGGCTTGTGTCTCCAGGGAACAATGCAACGCACATGGTACTGAAATGGTCTCCCAGGATCACCTGATATTTTAAGTAAATTCCAGTATTAAGGATGGTGGTTATAATTTTAAAGACTTCTTGGTTTAGGTCCTAACCTAGAGTCCTACTCGAAATAGGTTTGCTGAACCCATCCTCATTGCTTTGTCTCCTACCCAGCAGCAGTCTCACTTCACAGAAACCATTCTGCAAAAGGGAGTAATCTGCAGGTTACCACCTCAGCAGAGGGTCTCTGAACAAGGAGGAAGGATGAAAAGTCTGTGCTGTCGACTATTGGCAAGAGAGAGTGGAAAAAGATCAGATTGCATCTGCCTGAACTGTACTGGCTCTGCTGAGAAACAGCGGATTTTCAGTTTCCAACCCTGCCACGTTGTCTCGACCTTCACAAGGTCAAAATAGTTGGATTGGGCTTTGACATACAAGAAGATTGGAAATCTCAGGCACCGTGGAAGCCAGGAAGCACATCTAGGCAGTTGCTGTAATTCCCAATCCCCTTGACTGAGTAGTTGTGCCCCGATACCCTGTGTCCCTCCAGTACACAGTAAAACCTGTTTTAAGGGACCTCTCCAAGGGGCCAGCAAAAATCAGCTCCCTGATCTTTAACTAAATGTTAGATAACAATATCCTGGAGACATTCAGGATCCCTTTGTGGTCTCCATTTAGATCCCTTTCTGCATAGGGGTGCTGCTCCTAATGCAGGCTGCACTGTTCCTCGGCCTACCTGGGGTGATGGTGACATCCCTATAGCATGGGGCTACAGCTCTGTGGCTTACTATTTAAGAGGACTTAAAACAAGTGCTGCCAAGAGATAACAGTCCTGAAGACTAGAGACTGGCCACCGGAACCATTCCTCCCAAGCCCTCTTTTTCTCCCCATTCCTCATAAAATAGGACCCAGGTCCAAACCATCCCAGCTTTCAGTTTTGCATCTCTAAAGCCCAACCCATGTTGCTATTTCCACAAACACTACTCATGATGCTATCGATGGAGGGGGTCCATGCACCATGAATGCCTTTCACTTTCCCCTTTGAAAACTAAAAGCCATATCCCCAGCGAGAGGAAAAAAGCCTTGAAGTCAACGGACTTACGCTCATTTATACCAGTTGAGAATCTAGTCCTTAAATGTTCATTTTTGTTTTACTCTGATGCATTAAATAAAGACCTGAAGGGGCTTTTTCCTGCTTAGTTTGTTTTTTTTTAAGGGCAGGTGTTGTCTACTCCCGTTTTTCCTGGAAGACTCGGAGGGCTGTAGTGAAGATAAATTCCCAGCTTGGTGATGTTGACCATGTCAGTACCGGTGTGGATTTGGGATGGGGGATTCCATTCTTCTCTGCCACCTATGAACGATCCCTGCTTGGGCTGTGTGCAGCTGTCAGGATTAGGCCCATAACTGATGGGAGATACAACAGGTTTCAACAGAGCAATTCAAAAAACCTAATTTATAAACATCACACGCACACTCCTGCCTGTAACATCAGAAACTGGCTGCCATGATTTTAGCATTAAGATGTTATTGTTCACACTGGGTTATGAACTGGTTTTTCCAAGGTATACGGATAACAATAGCTACCAATTAAACTAATGGTTTAAAAGGCCCCGCTTAAACTAATATGAAACCAAATACAATTTTTTAAAAATAAGGAACTAGACTAGAGGTCCCCAAACTGTCAGGCGCACACCCTGAGGGGGGCATGACGGGTCTGGGCCAGTCCCCATGGGGGAGCAAGGAGGGAGCACCACCCAGCTCTGCTCTGGCCCCACTCACAGCTGCAGCCCTGGCTCCTGGCCCCGTGCCTGGCCCCATCCCCTGCCTCGGTGCTGTTCTGCATCCGGCCGTGCATCTGGCTGCTGGCCCCCACAGCAGTCCGGCTGTGGTTCCACTCCTGCCCCCATCCCCATTCTTGGCCCTGGGCCATGGCTCTGTCCCCAGCCCAGGGACGAGGCTGGGGATGGGATCAGAGACACACCCAGCCACTGGCCCAGCTGCTTCCCTCCACTACGGCCCAGCTGACCTTGGCTTGGTAAAGGCTGCCACCACCCAAATGCAAAACCCCCTTGAAGCCCAGGAAGGCGCACTTGGGAATTCCTCCCTGTGGGGTACCCTCAAGCATTTTCACCCCCACCCCCACCACTCCGGGGAAGAGCTGAGAAAGAAAACAAAGGAAATTAGCTGTTGCCACCAGCTAATTAAACAACATGCACAAACTTCCTAGGAAATTAAAAATCCAATCCTATTCTTTAAAAAGGTAAATTTTATTAAAAACAAAAAGAAAGAAAATACATCTGGAACTTAGGCTTTTGCTAGATTTTAAAAGAGCAATTCCAAAAATTAAGCACCCAAAATAGCTTTCTTGGGGGTTCAGCTTAAAGGTTACAAGCAAACAAAGCATCTGGGGTTTGCACAGAGGAGTTCACT